GAGAGAGAGAGAGAGAGAGAGAGAGAGAGAGAGAGAGAGAGAGAGAGAGAGAGAGAGAGCTTGGTGACATTGGATCCAGACTCGACTTTTGGGCTTCAGACATTTCGACGAGGGATTATTTGGGGCTTGTGACAAAGACTTGGTGTTGACAACATTCCCATTTCTCCCCCTCTTCTTCGTCTGTGTATGTCTGGACCTGGCGCTTCCTTCCTGTGTATAGCGCCAGGCTCCTTCACACCTTGTGATTAGCATGATGTATGTTTTGTCTGCGTTGAAACATTGATTGGGCTAGTCATTGGTATTCTAGCATTCTGCTTCGCTATCTTGTACTACGTGAAAGGGGTCGGTCTCGGTCAAGTCAAGATTTGTATCTAAGTCTTTCCTGCGCTATAAAGCACCATTTTGTATGTATCGGACTGTACATTGCTTGTTGAGATTCTCCTTGCACTGCATTGTCCATTCGGTCCTTTTTATCACATTGCGGATCCTTGGTTTTGTATGTGCATCGCCCAACTGGGCATGTAACATAAGCCAGGATCCGTACTCAGCGGCTTCCCGTACCCTCAAGGGAATATCCCACGTAAGCCTCGAAATACGGGTTCTAGGTCGGGACGACCAGGGTCTATTTTTCTTTTCTTTTTCTTTTCTTTTTCTTTTTCCCTTTTTCTTGAAAAGCGAAGGAGATGGATCAAAAACTTATATTTTTCAGAGCTGCCCCTGATGACTTTTTTGCGCGGTCGGTTAGCAACCGCGCCGAGTAATCCAAGAAACGGCTAGGAATTTGTGTGGGTGCAAATTTTGATTTCTTGCAGGCGCAACTGTTTTTTTCAAATTTTTGCACGCCGCGTAAACCTGTTCCCCTGCTTTGCATCCCCGTGCCATCTTTCCTTCCTGCCGCGCGCTCCCTTCTTGCATGCCTCTTCGTCTTCCCTTGAGCGAAGTCCGATCCTTTCATTACCCATCATCGCGAGCAATTGGTTGTGTAATTGGGATGGTCGGATCAATGTGGTGAAAGTGGGAAGCGAGCACCACTTGAAGGACCACCCCAATCACACAGAACATTCGACTCGCTTGCTTTGATCTTTTTGGAACCTTGGCCCTTCTTCTGTCCTGCTCATCTACACCCCGCGCTACCCGCACCTCGCGCTGGCACCCCGCCGCCTTCTGCGCTCTAAATTCTCGCAGTCAGCGGTGGTGGAGATCGAATGCTGTCAGTGGCAGGGCCTTGTGGCTATGGTTGGTGGAAGTTCGGATTGACTGGGGGCTGTGCCTGAAGGAGGCCAGTCCAGTGTGAAATTTTGAATAGTGAGGGACTCCCTTTTATAATAAAAGGTTGATCTTACGGGGGTCCTTGTCGCACGGCCATCGAGGGCAGCCCCGCCGGACGGGCTGGCGCGCCGAGCCTTCCTACGCTCTCGGAGCGGGTACTACACTCGCCAAGCGAGACCCATACTGACGACCCTGCTCCCAATGGTATAGTATGGCCCATCCCCCCCCACACCCCCTAGACACACACACTCACTGAACCAGATGAGACTCTCCTAAGACAACACACATTCCTCATGTACCGCGGAAGATGGGAAGGTTTCAACCAGGTCCAGCGCTCCCTGGCCACATGCAACATATCAGGGCACCCCCTAGCTCAGACCATGGTTAACCCCAGAGACATTTATGTCGGGAGGCATACAGCACCCAGTCGCACACATATCATTGGGTTGCCCACCCCTGCTAGGGAAGAAGCCTTGTCTAAGGCAGCCCTTCCTGAATCTAGCCCTACCTACCTACCTGCTCCTAGTATATCTCTATGTTATGATTCTGGTTGTTCGTTGTCTGAAGATCAACACTCACTCACATAGACTTCCAGGTATGCCCATACATACACAGAAGGAAGGGGAGAGGATAGGAGTATCACACCGCACGGAGGGAGAGATAAACACTACGGAATACTTGACTATGCGATATGACAGGGTGCACTGAAAGTGCAATTCACTCCACTCAATCCTCACAACCAGTCATAAAGGAAAGCCGAGTAGATCACATCTAGAAAACAATGAAACGATGATAGTCCAAACCCAGTCTCACACTGTTTATTAAACTCAGAGTCTCGAATTGTCAGGATAACCTCAGAACTGCAGTGTGCTGCTCAGAAATGAGAAGCGCTTCATTCTCCAGCCCTGAGTAACCACTCGTGACACCCCTGAGCCCCTAGAACATCA